TAGCTCCGCTATCGCGCGATCTCGCGGCCTGCCCGTTTCTTTTCGTCGTTTTTTTTTCTTCTTTACCAGCCTACTCCGCACAAGCCGCAGGATAACGACTACCTTTCGGCATCCTTAATTTCGATGTGCCGCGTCGTGTTATTTGATCCTATCCGCCGACGAAACAGGAAGCCCGATTTTGCCTACTATAGCAGAAGGAAAAAAAAAGAGAGAAGTACTTCATGTATCGAAATTTCGTTTCTTTTCTTCATTTCGTCAATATATTAATTTATCAAAACCAAGTCTATTTTTTCTATTTCTTTTTTTTTTTTTTATAAAATAAACTTTTGTGTAGCTTTTACTAATTGCAAGTCTAATTGCGGCAATTTTTTTAGACGTTATAAAATTAATGGAAATTTACAGCAGATGATATTTGATCGTCTATAATTAAATGATTCATGTAAACGAAGAACTATTCTCTATGAGATATAATAGGTAGGCAAATAGATAGAGCGTCAAAATTGGTGCATCTCTACATTCGACTCTAAAATTAGACAGATGCGAGAAGTAGGGAGGTAGCGAGACAGGACAGACCGCAGAAATCGGTTCCGCGGAAATCAAATCGCCAGATACTCCTTTTTTAAGCAGCTGATCGGCGATTGTCCGCGCCGGCCGGAAACGGACAACATACCTCGCGGAGGATCAACGTGCAACGATTCAGGCGGATTAAAGCTGACAATTACAGGGAACCCCGGGGGGGGAGGGAAGAAGGTGGTAGGTCCCCCTTTTCCTTTATATTACAGTACACACTATCCGCGGCGGTAGTTTAGATAGATAGGTGGGTAGGTAGGTCCGCGAATGAGTCAGGTCATGCTAGGTTAGATTGGACGTTGTCTCCGTACACGTATGCACTCACGTATGCGCACACTACACACACACACACGCATGCACGCGGGTACATGGACAACGATATACCATATGTGAGCCGCTGCTGCACGGCCAGCGTGCGTGGGTGGACGGAGGGCATCGCGTATGCGTGTGCGTGTGCGTGTGTGCGCGCGCGTGGAGAGAAGGCATATGGTCAGCAGGTGAGACCTTCGCTTTGTATTCCAAGTGTATAAAGTAGCCCACTTCGAGTGGCCCGACGTTACTCACGGACGTAACTCACGGTAAAAGGGGAGAGAGAGTAAGAGGGGAAAAAAAGGAAAGAAGGGTTACAACGCCGGGCTCCTCCTGAAATGCTAACGATCCCTTCGAGCATTCAGCATCAGAAGGAGACCTGCCGACGCGCGCGGTAGTACGAGCCATCCGACGCGATTCGAATAGCAGGAAAACGGGGTCGTGCATTTTTCATATCCCCGAGAATCCCGCGGTGAGTTGCCTCGGCGCAACTGTGTCAAAGATGACTCGTCGAAATAAAACAGATACGAAATAAGAGGCGAAACAGTCCCTTATCGCGCGTTAATAAATCACAGTAAGATTGAAAATAGTCGCGATCTTTCGGTAGATTTCGCTGCATTTAGGGAAAGCACGCGGATAGAATTTAATAAGCAATCCGAGAGTTAATAAAAAATGGTAGACAAGGGAGACAGACACAAAAAATTATGAATATCGCAAAGGGTGAGAGCGGGGAAGGGGTAGAATCGGAACGAGAGTTGGCTCCTGAGGAAATACAGTGGGTGTCATTTGATATATTTTTCCATTATTAAGGACATTAAGCCGGCGGCCCGCGGACCAACTCTCTTCTTTCTGTTTTTCTTCTTCCTCTTTCCATTTCTCCTTGCGGGCCCCGGCGCGCGACCGCGACTTCTCTCGTCCTTTCTCTTTTTTTTCCCGCGGCTGGCGACGACGATAAATCAGAAAAAAAGATTCAAACCGCCAGTATGGTCGGGCGTCGGGACGCAATTTTCCGTCTGCCAGGAGATAAAAATTTGATTAATGACCGCGTAGTTTTGAAATTTAAGAAAGGCGCGGCATCCTCGCTCCGAACTCCGACGAAAAACTTCCACGGAGAATAATAGCCCGACATTGTTCGTACGTCGATGCTGTCGAAATCTCGTGATCGTCTCATTACCTCCGAGAACCGTTAAAAAATAATAGCATCTACAGTTTAATGGGCTCTACAATTTAATTGTAATTCGATAATAATGTGATTAAAATTAAAAAAATCGTCAATGTATATTTTATTCCTATGTTTCACTATACCTAAATGCAAGTATATGAAAAAATTCGATAATTATCGATAAAATGTTCTTGCAATGGACCTTGCCAAATTTGCAGCTTTGCCTGCTCATTCTAATTAAGTTTGTTTCTATTCTACTGATCTCACCTCTGGTATTTCCATTTCATACTTCTCAACAATAACATACAGATTGACAGCTCGCGCGATCAGCTGATGAGGGCAATAACCGCAGAATTTGCCGACTTTCACGTTTTTCTTCACAAACATCAATCTTCGAACCATTAAAAAGTAAAATCGCTGTGTATCTCTCTCGATATTAAATTCAGTGCATATTAAATCCGAGTTAAAAAATTATATATTCGAAAATCTCGAATCTAATCTCACGAATACAAAAGTAGAAATCATTTGATCGGCGAAACATCTTACATCCAAAGTTTAAAGAAATCTCGACGGGACACTCGAGGCAGTCATTAAAAATTCGCAACGCGACTCTGCCTCGGCGTCAAACCGTTTTTTCACCCTTTTGTGTCACTCCCGGCTCCCGGTTAATCATCGTGAAAGTTCGTTTACAAGGGACAAGGAATTCGAAAGGGAAAACTCGTGTTGGCAAGCAATTACACCTTAAAAATGCCGAATAAGCGGATTGAGATTACATAACACTAATATATAAAAATCATATTCTCAGTTATATCGATTTACCGCCGATGAATATATCGATAATAGATACATTTTTCTAACTCTTTCTTCATATGAATTAAAGAATTTATATTAATATATTATCTCTGCAGGCGTCAATAACTTTTGAATATCTCGTATTCTATATATAAAAATCGATGCACGTTCTAACGCTCGTTAGGTCGGCATACCATTTGTACATCGATTAAACGACGTCCGTAACATTCCCCTCCTCTCTTGAGTATCGCAAAACAGGAGCAATTTCATTCAAATCGGTGACGAACAACAGCCGGCCGACCGTGTCTGGGCGGAGGTAGAAAAAGGCGAGGAAAAAGGCGCGGAATAAAATCGCGTCGGGCAGCCTCTCCCTCTCCCACGGGGATTAAAGAGTCCAGGGATGCCCAGCGAGCGGCGAGATCGTCGTCACCCCGTCAAGTATCTGCAGTCACGTCGAACGGCAAACGGACGGGGGGGCGGGAGGGAGGGGGAAAGGGTTGAACTCGCGGAAACTTGAGAACCCCCGGTGACAATTTCAATTCTCTCTTCGTCCCGCCCGGCCGCCTCTTTCCCTCTCGCTCTCACGGAGCCCCGTCGCTCCTCTCGTCACGAAAGGGGTGACCTAAGATTCTTAAAACTTCTCACGAGATTTTTCGATTTTAATTACAGTTTTAACATATTTTAATAAAATCCTCCGCCGTCTTTGCGAGTCCATCCGTCCATCTCCTCGCCCCCTCGCCGCCACGCTACCCTCTTCTTTAATTCCGCCAAGTTTTCGGCCCTTCTATTTTACCTCGCGCCGAATCCTACTCGCCCGACCACTCTTGCCGCGGACTGTACGCCCTTTAACGTTAACCCTTTCGTTCGTTCACCTACTACACCCACACCCGCGGTACACTGGCGCAACACCTGTTCCCCGAACGAGGAGAACCCGAAATTGTACGTTCCGGCTACGCGGCCCGATCCGCCGTTCTATCAGTTTCGGTTCTTCCTCACGGCGCTCAGGAAGAACCGGAGATAGTGATTGAGTCGCTCTCTCGTATGCACCGCCGCGCGACTCCATATACGCGAACGCGATTTTTTTTTAGACCGAGATTTCTTTTCACGAGATTCTCGTCGTTGTGCCAAAATCGATGGACGCGAAGCCGATAGTAAACTGTAAGCACCCGAACGGTCGAAGTAATCGCCCACAAAAATTGATACCGAACGTTTGAAAATACGTGACAGATCGAAAATGTAAATGCGTACGACAGACGTACTAAATGTATCGCAGAGATCGTAAAATAACATATCTCAATCGTGTCGCATTCGTAAAACACATGCGCGCTATAACGATAAATCTAAATCAAGCGGAGCTAGGTTATACAAATTTCGTCGGGTTCCAAGTTTCTCACGCTGGTTTGAGAAGCTTGTAGTATCGGTCAGTAGGTCAAGTTGCACCGCACCTTCGTTCCGCGATTATAAACGTTGGCTCTCGGCCTTGCAGTACCACGACCTTGGTAACTTCTAATCGTCAAGTTCAACCACCACTATATAACCCGGATTAGATGATATAACGCCGTAATACGATTACTTCGCGCGTCCTCCTCTTAATTTATCTCTCATTGTCAGTGATATAATTTAAGCTTAATATATCCGTAAAAACTAGCGCAAACAGAAGAGATACGAGGATCGATCGAACCGCGCGTGTTTTGAAATCTGTGCCGAGACTGCGAAAGAATATAATATCTTGGAAGAATGCACTTTTCATTACTGTTAACTGATAATTGTAAAATTTTTCTTTCCTATTTATTTATTTTAAAATATTCTAATGGTATTTATTTAGAATATGATTAATATAAAATTATATATACGATTTAATTGAACTTATTCTTATCTAAATTATTTCTTTATATCAATAAAAATGGATTCCATGATACGATATTCTTTACATTTATCTTGAGGTTTCCTCGCCTTTCAGTGATAAATATTTTTCAAAGCTACTGCATCAAAAGCTTTTGCAAAGCGATCGATATCCAAGAAGGCGAGGTGACCGCTGCAGTTTCGGCAACGTAAAAGCGATGGCGATCGACTACGAAAATGTTGGGCGGTCAGGGTCGATCTGCCATCCCCCGTTGCTCGGCGAAAAGTACAGCGTACCAACTAACCCCGGCAGTTCTTCTCGCAGATCTTCATGCACAAGAGCGCGATGCAGATGCACGCGAGGGAGCTGGGCGCGGGTGCACTGACGGGGAGGCCCGGCGGCGGCGTCGCCGGCGGCCTGGCCGGTCTGGGTGTCGGTGTCGGCGTCGGCGTCGGACCAGGCGGCATGATCGCCGGCAACGAAGTTAAGCCGCACCAGTGCCAGCAGTGCCTCAAATCGTTCTCCAGCAATCACCAGCTCGTGCAGCACATCAGGGTCCACACCGGCGAGAAGCCGTACAAGTGCAGCTACTGCGACCGCAGGTTCAAGCAGCTCAGCCACGTGCAGCAGCACACACGACTGCATACGGGTGAGTGGTTCTCTCTCTAGCTTATCTATTCGCTTGCTACTGTTAATATAACGACATCGGGTCGGCGCGTAAGCTTTTTCTCGATTACGCCCGATTAAAGTTGACCGCCGCGTAATCGGCACCGCCCGTAAATTAATGCAGAATAATACGCGTTAAGCCCTGGGTACCCCACCACACACCGCTGCCCAGGGCTCGTCGTCGTTATAGAACTCGCACCGAGTTATTGGTCAATAAATTAGTGCACGAATATATATTGCTGTTATAGTAAATTCTATGAATACTATATCGCCCGGGCTATAGCCAATAATCAATAAATTAATATGCAGTTATTGTCTGTACGGGCAATCATGCGTCCCGATTGTGACTAACTTCAATGCGCGCCGGTGCGAAATTGCTTTGTGCATGCAACATGCGTGCAAGTAAAATATTCCTACGCTCGTAGATACGGTCGAACGAACGAACGAACGAACGAATGAACGAATGAACGAACGAATGTATATCCCCATCGCCCCGCGTACTGCTCTTTCGCGCCCCGCGAGGCCTTCCGATATTTGGATAACGATGCATCTGCAGCCGCGTAGGAGGCAGCGACTAAAATAACATCCAACCAGGCCGAACCACCAGGCACGAAGGATTCGCAATAATGAGAAAACCCGATCTGGCTGCAAAGGCAAGCCAATGGGTCGCGTCCGGGTAGAAAGAATTTCATTAAGGGATGAGCGTAGTCACTCGGAAGGTATTAGCCTCGCAAGCGAAACGGTCAGCGCGCGCGCCGCGGCACGACTCTGCTGGCCCCTTGGAAAAATCTCGTTGACCTTAACGAAGATTTGCTTTGGCGAGGCAGCGAAAAAAAAACAAACAAAGAACGAGAGAAAGACGCTCCCGCGTCGGGTATTCGAGCTATTTAATCGAACCGTCCGAATCGGTGCGGAGCGAAAGAGAGATACGAAACCCTGAGTAACAATCGATTCGAGAAAAGGCTCATTGACAAAGTAAACGGATCTCCAATGTTTCTTTGCCGACGTAGCGAATCGTTCGAGTCGTTCTCTCAAATCGTCTCTACGACGAATCACGAAGAGCATCGTCTTGCACGACGTAGATCCGCGGTATACTCGCGACTGTGGCTAGAATCGAATCTTCACACGCTTAGAAAGGTTTATAAAAGCAGACGTCGCGAATTTTGACGTGAATATTTTGTGTAACCTGGTTTTCCATGTTGACGCTTATCTTTTTATTTCCACGCCGCGTCGCTTCGGCCGAGCTTGTCGTTTCTTAACTGTAAATAGCGGCGAAAGAAAGACTCGCATTGATTTTAGCCGGCCCATCTCTCGACCTCCCGTCTTCTTACTCCATATCTCTCTCTCTCTCTCTCTCTCTCTCTCTCTCTCTCACTCTCTGTTGCGACCACCCACGTCCAAATAACTACTGCTCAGCCACCCCTTACATTAATAACCGCCCTTCCCCCACATATCCTACCCTTCGTCATCGTCCTCCTCCGCAGGGTGGTGCTCGAGTTGGGCGTGTATGCACGCGCGTATGTAAAGGGTCGCTTTGGATTTCTACACTTCTACCGATAAAATGTTTTAAATGCACCCGTATGCGCAGCCCCCGACCTCGGTTGCACCGAGGGAGAGGGTGCAAACCTTGCAACGGTATCTCGTGACGAGCTGCGAGCGCTCGGAGCCAAGTTTAGCCGCGAATCGAAATATTTCTATTTTCGAACATCTTAAGGAGAAATGATTGGGCGATGCAACATTTATATCCATACAACATGCAAACTCAACAAGAGCTTGTTGACTCCCTGTAAATCATAAATGTTATTTCTTGCTGAACAAGTGCCCGATAATTTGTATTAGTCGATCATAACCAGTTGCAACCTGTTTTTATATTTATCGCTATCCCACTTATTCTTGTATTAGTAGGAATTTTTATCAGAATAAATGTTTAAAATTAAATATAAAAAAACATTGGAAGTTGCGTCAAATACATTCATTAAATTTTGCATTAAATATATAAAAATAACAATTTCAAAATTATATTTAGTTAATTTTCTGTTAATTTTGTTTAGCTCTACCGTTCTTGCAGCACAAGATTACGTATATATATGTACAGATATATATATATATATAT